CATTCCGTTAGCGGCATCGAAGGAGGCTCCCCGCCGCGCAACACCTTCCGGTCATGAAACAGCGCCGTTTGCAGAGGCTCCCCGCGCGCCAGCCTCGCCCACTCGCAAACGAAGTGCGAGGCGCTGGTTCCGTTCACCACCACATGCGAAATCGTGATGCCGATGCTGACGCCGCCGCAGGAGAACCTCGTTAGCTGAATCAAAAGCAACGAATTTTGGTGAATTGGGAGCGTGTAGTCCACGGTGGGAAAAAGGAGGTGGTACAAGTTCAAGTCATCTCTGAGATGTTGTAAACTCGATGAGGATTTGGCTTCGATGAAGGAAACCCCCGAGGCATTGCAATGGAGCTCTAAATGACCGTTATTTATCCGGTGTAAACGGCACCATGCTCATGTTCCGGTCTTACTCCGCGCGGTTTCTCAGCTGCGCCATGACGGCAGCGGCAACAATAGAGGTGGAGAACGTGTTAGGGTTGAAGTAATTCCTGTGAAAATAGTGCGACGACGCTGACATAGTGGAGCCGGAGCTGCGGAGGGAGATGTTGAGAGACGTGAAGTTGGAGGGGATGGTGCCGGAGCGCCAGAGAGAAAAGGAAAAATGAAAATGAAACGGGCAGGGAGATGAAGAAAATAAAATATATTTAAATAGGCCGGGAGCTATTATTTAAAAGGTTATAAATTAACGAGGGTTAAATAACAAATATTAAAACATTCTTAAAAAATATAAGTTCTGATAAAATCAATACATGTCATCATTTATGTAGTCCTAGTCACAGAAGACTTCGGTACCCCCTAAATAAAACTTGCACTAAAGGAAATACCTTTAATTAATTTTTAGGGAGTTGCTACGGTACCCTCAAAGATGGAAGGGTTTCAATACATTTTTCTATGTAAATTCATAAACTTTTTTTAAAAAAATTAATTTAATTATAAAATAAATAATCTAAATTATACTTATAAAATAAAAAGTAAGATAAAATTATAGAGATTAAAATTATAAGTTTTCAATAATATTATAAAATATTAAAGAAAAAGAAAAAATTAATAAATAGTAGAAATAAAAAGTTATTAAAATTACAATATAGAAATTCAAAAATTTAAGACAAAAAGACAAAAAATATACTTAAAAAATTATTAAAATTAAAATATAAAAATTCAAAAATTTTAAGTGAAAAGATAAAAATATACTTAAAAAATTATTAAAATTAAACTATTTAAATATATAATAATATTATTACAAATAAATTAGAATATATAAAATAAAAATAAAATGACTAAATAATTTAAAAATTGAAAGGATAAAATATTATAAATATTATTTAAATAAATTACTAAAAATATAAAATATAAAAAACTGTACCGGTACCCTCTCAAATAAGATGGGTACCATAGAATTTCTCTAATTTTTATTCTCATTTTCTAACTCTTTGCAAATATTTAACTAACCACCCATTTTATTTTATTTTTGTTAAAGTAATAAATGTACATAACGTGTCCTCCCTCCTAGTGTTGATAACCAAAACAATTTACGTTTACTTTATATATATTATTGGTAGAAAAGCTAAAAACAACAAAAGAAAAAAGAAAATAAACATAGCCTAAGTTCTAATGTGACACATGCTCATGGCATCTGTCATGAGCTGGAGTGACAACTGTTGTGAACAATCTCCCAAACAACAAAATTCTCCAAGGAAGAACTGTATTTGGCCATCCAATGTGCACAGCATTTCCTTCTCTCTATAGTTGTGTTGGATACTAACATTCCATTATTGAAACAAAATTTGCTGAATTTTCTCAATAAGACATGCACAAGGGTAATGCTCCTGAGCATGTTGTCTAATGAACTGAATTGCTGAATTAAAGCGAATCAGACTCACAAACAACGTTGTAGAACCCCTTATCCCAAAGGGTACGAAGAACATGGTAGAAACCAAAGACTTCCAACAAGGTGGTTCCTGAAAAGTCCACCAAAGTCGAATCTACCTTGGATTTCCCAAAGAGCTGCCATAACATTAAGTTCGATGGTGTTCATAGGAGGAGGGAACCATGATACGTGTATCCGAGCTTTTAAAAACCCTCACGTTCCAACTCTTCCATATATAAGATCCATATTGTGAATATATATAAACTTGAGGCCATGTTCGCTGGTGCAATGTATATATTTTCAGCCACATGAGGCATCAGATGCAATATGCCTAGCCACCCAAGGACGGAGCCAAGGGGGGACCTACGGGTGCCACGGCCCCCTCAACAATTTTAATTTTTTTTTATATACATATATATTACTATATGGCACCCCCTATTTTTAATATAAACTCATATGTATAATTAAATGAATAACTCAAATTTATTTTTTTATTCAACTTTTGGACTTCTGGTACGGCCTGCTATGTGGTATCACTTTTGAACTTTAATTTTCATTTATTATAAATTATATATTATTTATTCTCGGCCCCCCAGTATTGAAATCCTGGCTCCGTCCCTGTAGCCACCCATATGAATTGCTTAATACTTTCTGTCACGTTTACTTATATATATAAATATACATATATGTAATTAATTATCTTTTATTTCTCTTTTACTAAATAACATTTTTTACTATATTTTTATAAAGGCATTCTTACTCTATTTCTTCCGTACTTTTCTCCATTTCTTGCTTGCACCCTTTTTTTCTCCCTTCATTTCTTTACTAATATCAAAGACAACATCAAAGTCCAATTCCTCTTCATAATTCTAGCTAAAATGTGGGCATGTTTGTAGGGGGGTAGAGGGGCAACCTACACATTCCAATTTAACGGTCAAAATTAGGGATGTTTATGAGTTTGAAGAATTTAATAAAATTGATGATCAAAATTAAATTAATTAAGTTGGTTTGCTTTTTTTTAATCGGATCAAATATGATCCAAATCAATTAATTATAATCTTAATTGGTTTAAATTAGAGATTTTCATTATCAAATCATTAAAAATTATTATTACTATTATTATTATTATCATCATCATCTTAATATTATTTTATAATATTATGATTTTATTAGTAACATAATAATTTTATTAAAATGCATGAAGATTATTTAGATAATAATTATGATGTTGGTTACCGAAATTCATGTACACAGATAGTGTATGGTGGTCAATTTTTCTTTACTGTTAAATTAATATTCTGTACAATCTTATAATAACCCTTTACACTTTATAATTTTATTTTAAAAATTTTAAATTTTTATTTTTCCTTCTCCCTCCTTTCCTCCTCCACTTCCAATGCTTCACTATGCACACTTCCTTTAAGTCAGCAATCGCTAAGAGGGAAGGTAAGCAAGGGAGGACTAGAACTCATGAAAGAGTGGGTAGTGACAAAGGAATAGAGCACAGAGAGTCGAGGATATATAATTCTGTAGAGTTTCTCTAGAATCTATCCACGTTGCATGTTGTGGTGCTTCCATGCAGGCTCGAAGTTTGTGATCCTATCAAGAAATATTCTTATGTGATTTGCTATAGATAATTTTTTTAAAGTAAGATTAATTTAATGGTTACAATTCTTGGTCTATCCTAAATTTTGTTAATAATTATGACTTAGTATATTTAGTTATATTTTAATTACTATCTTAATTTTAAATATTTGAATATTTTAATTTCAAATGTTAAGATATATTTGAATACTTCAATTTCTTATCTCTTTCATTATTATCTTTTATTTATGTTTGAATGTTATTTACATTATTTTAATAATATGTTTTGTTAAAATTTTAAATAAAATAATATATTTTTTACATTTTAAAAATAATATCTACCATTTTTTTTATTTAAGAAAACCGACTAATCCAAACTAATTCAAACCAGTGTTTTCAAACCCGGACCGACCCGGCCGGTCGGACCGGGTGGGCCGGGAACCGGTGGTCCAGCCGGTCCGAATCTGAAGTTGGATCGGTTATGCAGTCGACTCGTTTCAAACCGGATTGAACCGGTCAATTTTCCGGTTCAACCGGTGAACCGGTGGGTCAAACCGGTTCAACCACTTTTTTTAAATATTTTTTTTAAAATTTTTTTAAGGGACCATAAATCACAAAAATAATAATGAAAATTGAATCTCTTAATGAAAAAGCAAGGAGTCTTATTAAATATAACAATGACTACTTGTTCTAATATATTTGTTTGCAATATATACAACTTAAATAACTTTTATAGTATATTATTAATTTTAAATTATATATTTAATAATGCAATATCTATGTAAATATTACATATATTATTTTGTGATATTAATTGCAAGCATATTATATATGTACATATTATTTATATTTTTAATTTGTATTAATATACTGTTTAACATGTAATTTTTTTATGTATTTTTTTACAAAATAAAAATAAAAATAATTTTAAATAATATAGAAAAATTAAAATTTAAAATAAGATATAAATTTATTAAAATTTATAAGTATAAAATATATTTAATATGAATATTTTTTAATAAAAATAAATAAAAATCGAGTCATGCGGTTCAACCAGTGATCCACCGGTTCAACCTTTGACCCACTGACCCAGTACCTTAACCGGTTCGATGACCGGTCCGGTTTTTAAAACTATGATTCAAATAACTGTTGATTGATAAGGTTTGGTGGATATGAGAAATTTTTTTTTACCAAACCAATTAAAAGTCCAAACTAAACCGGTGTATGCACACCCTTAGTCAAAGTATTTTTATTTCATTAATTTTATTGTAAAACAAAACATAAAATGTGCATATTTTGTTTGTGCCGTCCGAAATACAACCTGAGGGGATCAAAAGAAGGGTTCATACGAAGAGCCCAGATACTGCAAATGATGTACTTGTTCTTCTCAACAAACATGGATTCTCTAAAACATAGTTACATGTCTCCTTCAGTTTAGCTTCAATCCCACAAATCCCTACCTGCTTTTGTCTTAATACCCGAAGAACAAAGTCCTCTTTGCATTGTGCTTCGTGGGCGAGAACAAGTGGTAGCAGCCATCAGCAGCGTTCACCGAAATCTGTGAGTGAGTAAATAATAATAAATGGTGCCTAATTTTCTCATTGCAAGATTAATTGCATCATCATTAACACGCTACAAGAGCACCCATTTCCTGTTGGGTTCACATTCTCTGCTGCAACACAAACACAATGCTTCACTTTTTCTCTTCAATTCATACACTTCTGGTGCAATCCACCCCAAAGGTGACACCTTTACAGTGTCTTACCTCGTCAACTCATGTGGGGTGTCCCCAACACTGGCCAAGGAACTCTCCAAAAGGGTCAATTTGAAAACCCCAGATGGCCCAAATGCTGTTATTGATCTTCTCAGCAACTATGGGTTCTCCAAAACCCAGATTGCAAAACTTGTGGAAAAGCATCCCTTGGTGCTTGTTGCAAAGGCAGAAAATACCCTTTTGCCTAAACTCAAGTTCTTGAGATCTATTGGGGTTTCCAATACTGATCTTCCTAAGATTCTGCTTCGAAACCATGTTATATTGATGTGTAGCTTGGAAAATTTCCTCATCCCACGTTATGAGATCCTCCGGGGTATAGTTCAGGATGACCAGAAAGTTGTTAGAATTTTGAAAAGTGCTGCATATAATATTACATATGCTGACGTGTTGAAAACCTTGGTTCCAAACATTAATGTTTTGAGGCAATCTAGTGTGCCTCAGGCTTCCATCTCTCTCTTGATGGTCTATTTTTCTAATACAGCACATATGAAGCATTCCAAATTTTTGGAAGCTCTCAAGACAGCAAGGGGAATTGGGTTTGATCCATCGAAAACAAATTTAATACATGCTCTCGTTGTGCTTTTAAATACTAACAAAACAATGCAGGATTCAAAGTTTAAGGTTTATGAGAGGTGGGGTTGGAACCACAAATTGGCTCTTCAAGCATTTAGGAAGTTTCCCGTTTTTATGATGTTGTCAAAGGAGACATATTCAAAAAAAATGAGTTTCCTAGTGAATGATATGGGTTTGCCATCAGAAGATATTGCTGAATATGCTCAGGTTCTGGCATACAGCTTGGAGAAGAGGATCATCCCTAGATTTTCAGTTATTAAAATCTTGCAATCAAAAGGTCTGCTTAAGAAAGATTTGCACTTCAGTACCTTTATGTGCATGAATGAGCAAAACTTTTTGATGAAATTTATGATCAATTTTCAGAATGATTTGCCTCTCTTATCAGATGTCTACAATGGTTTGATCAATCAATCATCAAAATGAAATATGGTCTCTGAAGGTTTTTGCAGACTGTAGTCCTAACTTTCAACGTCTTCGTTTGAGTGCTAAATTGAACTGAGTTTCATTTACTTTTACTTTTAATATCATCATTTTACGATTTTTTTTTTCTTTGGTAGAGGGACTTTTGGTCAGATTTATAACAGATTGGTTTTATAATCAAGTGTATGAATCTACTTATTGGTGATTTTCATTTTCAGTATTTTGGTTTCTTTAGTTCTATTCATTCCAGACAACACATTAAAAGATGAGTTCTTATGTATTTGTTAGCTATGGGTAATTCTGATGAAATTGATCTTTATCACTGCCTTTTTTTTTTTTTTTTTTTTTTTTTTTTTTTTTTTTTTCATTTTAAATGTGTTTATCTATTATGGGAAACATTTGTTTCATCTGAGGTTTGTTCTGTCATCACATAATCATAGTATACTTATTTTCATCGCTACCTTTTGCCTAAACTCACGTTCTTCCGTTCTATTGGGTTTTCCGACGCTGACATCCCTAAGATCCTGATTGCTAACTACACCATCTTGTTAAGAAGCTTGGAAAAATTCCTCATCCCACGTTGTGAGGTCCTCAGGTGTGTACTTCGTGATGATCGAGAAGTTGTTAGATCTTTGAAAAATAAACCATTTCGTTTTACTTGTGGTGATGTAATGAAAGATTTGGTTCCAAACATTTTGTTTTTGAGGCAATCTGGTGTGCCCCAAGCTTCCATCTCTTACATGATGATCCATTCTGGGAATCTAGCCTACTGGACGCATTCCAAATTTGTGGAAGCTGTCAACACTGCGAAGGAAGTTGGGTTTAGTCCTTTGAGAACAAGTTTTATCGTGGCCATTGAAATGCTAATTAAGAGCAAAGTAGTGTGGGAATCAAAGTTTGAGATTTATGAGAGGTGGGGCTGGAACTGTGAAACGGTGCTTAGAGCATTTCGAAAGTTTCCCAATTTTATGAAGTTGTCAGAGGAGAATTTTACCAAAAAAATGAGTTTCCTTGTGAAGGATATGGGTTGGCCATCAGAAGATATTGCTGAATATCCTCTAGTTGTAGCGTACAACTTGGAGAAGAGGATTATCCCTAGATTCTCGGTAATCAAAATCTTGAAATCAAAAGGTCTGCTTGAGAATAATGTGCACTTTAGTGGCATTATTTGCATAACTGATGAAGATTTTTTGGAGAAATTTGTCGACAATTTTAAGAAAGATTTGCCTCTCTTGCCAGATGTCTACAACAGTTTGATTAATGAACAGAATGTAATATAAAATATAGTCTTTGAAGGCTTTTTCTGGTGATTGTCCTAACTTACAATCTTTCTATTTCAGGGCTAAATTGAACTCTTGATTCTCACTGGCTTTCACTTTTGTGTCTGTATTATGAGTTTTATTTTCCTTGGGTGGGAAGAATTTTGGTCAGATTTATAGCATGTTGATTTTACAATCAAGTATATAAATCCAATTTTTGGTGATTTTAAATTCAATATATTGGTTTATTTATTTCTGTTGATAAAGCACAACACATAAAAAAAGAGTGCTGTATTTTGTAGGCCTGGTGTAATTATGTTGAATTTTGTCTTGATTGTTGCCCTCTTGTTTTAAATATGTTTATCTGTTTTGAGAACATTTGATTCGGCTCAGTAGTCTGTACTCTGTACTGTTATCACATAACCATTTTATACTTTTTGCAATTCTTTTTTTTACCAAAAGTGACATGTGATAGACATGTCTACACTTAAAACTGCCATAAACTATATTGATTGTCTTGGAGGAATCCCCTGGTTATTTGTTAGAGCATGTGGAGGGGTTCAATAACCAAACCTTATTAGTTTATTTCAATGGAATCAAATTATGATTAATTGTTCTACTACCATTACCATTTTTTAATAAATGAATTCTGTAATGGTTTTTTACGTTTTTATGGTGTAGCCCCTTCAACCTAAAATTGTAACTCTCTTGTTAATGCATGCCGCTCCTTGGAATCATGGATATATATATGGATTTGAACATTTGCTAATTACTGGTAACTTTATGCTTTTGACAGCATCAGAGAGTAGCTAACAGTTAGTTAGAATAGCTAGGTGGTTACTGTTGTAGAAGTAGGAATTAGTTTAAATAGGGGGAGGAAAGTCGGCATTCTGGTTTGTTTTTATTTGAAAACTAGGCATTCAGATATGTTACTGCTCACAATATCTTAATTAAACCAGAATAACATCAGCTACAGTGAATCTACATGTCTGCCCCATATTCTTTCATTTCCTCTGCTATCTGCTATACATTTTTGGGGTTCAGCTACTATGTGCTGCTATCTGGGATTGATATCTATATACTCTGTTCAATAGGCACATACACTGACATGATCAATATACTCTGTACACCTGAAAATAAATCAAATCTACTTAACTAAGGATTAACTCAATTTTGTTTTCACTAAATTTGCTGAAATTGTTATTTCCATAACTTAATAAGAAGAATCACATTATTCCATGTCTCTTCAAATTTCAAAATTCGATTCATTTTTTCAGAGGCTCCTATGTTTCTAAATTGATACCTAATAACCCAATTTTGTTTTCCGGTATTCACACCATCAACATCTCAGGTTCCTATAAGAAGAATCACATTATTCCATGTCTCTTCAAATTTCAAAATTCGATTCATTTTTTCAGAGGCTCCTATGTTTCTAAATTGATACCAATTGCAATTTGTGTTTTCAAAATTTGTTTATTTGAATTGTGTGAAAGCCTAGGCCAAACTTTGCTTAGTTCTCTAACATTGTTGTACCTCCAATGGAGAAAATTCTTAATTGCTATTTTTTTCATTTGCTTGACTTTAGAGAATGGGGCAATGGCCATTGAATCTAGTAGACATTCAATCCTGGAGAGAATAACTGACTTCTTTCTACAAAACGAGTATATTGAATAATCATTATAACCCCAACATCATTGTAATCACCTTTTCTTTGGTGTAAATTAATCTTTTGCATTGAAGGCCAATGATATATTTTTGTCTAAAGCCGTAGATAAGGTGATTGTCGCAGGTCCAATATGTAAGAAAATTTCTCTTTCACATATAAGGTGTACAGTTTCAAAGCAGGATCAGTGAAAGTAAAATTGCAGATGCTATTTATGGATCACGAACTATGTCTGAATGCTTTTAGTAAAAATAAGAAACAAATATTAACTTATTAGTGATGTGTAAATCTCAGAATAATGAGCAAATGAAGCACAACGGATACAAAATGTTTTACTTAGAAAGGCTTCGGATATGAGTTTGTTACTTAGAAAAGGGGTGAGTTATTCAGGAATTACAGCAAATTGTACCTCTACCAATATTGCAGATGGATATCTATTTACATGAAGAATAATCTAGTTTGTTAATTTGTCTTCTAGATTCCTTACCTCCAGGAATGGAAAGAGAGTACTTACCTTCAATAAGTGTGTCTCATAGTTATTCTTGCTCAAGTTGGGTGTTATGTTCCTGGCCACTTCTCAATTTTGGTTGACACAAAGCTTGGTAAGTTTATTACTCCTGATGTCATACCATTAATATCATATCATGTGTTATGAGCAATATGAAAGTGAAAGTAAAATATGATATATTTCAGGTATTTATATTCATTTTCTTACTATCTATGTATAAAGCAGTGTCTTTCTGTCATCCTATGCATATATAGAGTTTACCACGCAATGAGCATGGTTTTCTTTGTACCATAAAGAAGAGGATATGCCGGGAAGGCTGAACTGAAAAGACAAAAAATATATAATTATGTTTGGTGATATAGATTCATCTAGAAATTCTAATGTTTTCTTGCTGTTTTGCTCGTTAATGAGGATCCTGTTAAGTAGTAACATACTCTCATTAGCATCTAGAAATGTAATGGGTATGTGTAAATTGAATGGATGCACGCATGCATCATGTTTCAGGTTAGTTGAAGAAAAATTAGAACGGGAAATTAAGTGCATATTTTGTTTGAGGTTCACAAGTTCGTATTGCTTTGCAGGCTTGAAGTATTTTTTCTTTTCTTTTACCAGGCATGTATCAAACCAATTCTGTGTGTGCTTCCAAAGTCATTACTAGTGTTGGCTAGCAACGGTAGAACATGTTACTTACAGAAATTTTACGACCCCATATAAATGTATCTAAGATGAAGAAACACTAATGAAAGTATTGGATTTGTTAGATAGCTAAAGGAAATATATGATAAATAACTTAATAATTTAGAATAAAAAACAATAAATAGGGAAATAATGTTAAAATCATCACTTCTTTATAATCAATTTAAATTGTCCTCGTGTCCTATAATTTAGACATTAGTTACGTCCCCATGTCTCTGTCCATCCTTGTTTGGTGTGTGTGTTGAAGTTAGTGTTTCATAACTTAAAGTTACTAACCTAATTGAATGACAATCTTGCAAGTGACATTTGTTAGAAATTTTATTTCTAATAATTAATGTGGGTTACATATATTATTTGTAGTATTGATATTAGCTATTTACATTTAGTTAGACTCAATAAAAGTGATCTAATTTTAGTAAGTCTTTAGACTGTTAATAGGAAAAACTAATATGAACCCAAATAAGTGGAAATCAGATTTGGTCTGCTAGAAGTTAATGGGCATCTTAACAGATTTAAAATTGAAAAGATAGTCATGATTCCCAATATGCCAAATTAGAAAAACGTCTCTCTGTTTTTCCATCAAAAGAAAAACATTAAGTTTTGTTGAGGAATTCAGTGATTTGGTTGAGAAAGATCATTGCACCAAAAGACTATTTCGCTGCAATCTTCGATTAACGTCAATGGATACAGGTATATGTTATTAACTTTAATTCTGTAATCTAATCTGACACAACGGTTCTTAATATTGATGAATGAAATTTTTTTATTTGTCTTAAGAAATTTATCCCAACACCATCTTCTTAGAGAATTAAAATGAAATTATAAAAATAATAAAATATCATATTTTTAAAATATACTAATTTCTTCTAATAAAATCTTTGAACTATTTTATTTTAGGCTTAGAGCCCATCCTAATTGATACTAGCTTCACATGGAACTTGTCCTCAAGGTCCATAAACAATTTTGAAGACACCCCAATTACAATTCGAATGGGTGGTAAAGCTTGCTTAGCACGTGACTGGTTAGTAACTACCAATGGATGAATAAGGAGCAAACGTTGCACTACACATCATCATTTTCTAGCATTTTGTGACTTCTACTTCGAATCTTCTTCTCTGGGAAGTAGTCCTCAAATCCTATAAGTAGGATTCCGAAGAGTCATCCCATTTTCATTTCTTAGAAGTTGAGATTGGTGTAAATCACTCATTAATTGGTTTGGTATTGGGAATTTGCCTTGATCATCTGGTCATCTGGTGGACTTTTACAGGTAAATAACTTTATTGTAAAAGTTGGAGGCCAATAATATTGTAACTGCTTAAGGATACACTCGTAGTCTTCTTGGTAAGAAGGGCATGCGTGTTAATTGACTCACTCGTCCCACACCATGCCAGGGGCACGCTCGTCCTTGAAGCATCACTACTCAAGGTTCGTCTCGTCCGTGGTCATTAGTGTGAGGTACCACAATCACATTCATAATCATATCCACACATCATCCCATCTCATATCTCAAAAACATGCACAATTCCATATCACATACACAACAAATAAGTCCAACAAAATAAGGGTTTCATACACCTCAAGCAATTCACATCTAAATCATCAATTTTTATCAAGTGATATATCAATAACATTCATAAATTAATATAATATTCAACAGAATTACCAATTTAATATAATTTCAACATAACGGTAAAACCCCCAATTGTTCCAAACCTAGCTCACAGGCACTTTCTAGAGTTTCGTTCTCCCTCTTAGATCATCATTCTTACAAATTAAATATATTTTTCTAATCCTCAACACATGCAGAATCTAATGGGATCATCAACTTTTCAAACAGAAATAATTCAATTTTTCCCAAAACCTAACTTACAGGCACTTTTCTGTAATTTCGTTCTCTCTCCCAGAGCATCATTTTTACAAATAAAAATATATATTCATAATCCTAAATTCATACAGAATCACATAAAACCAATAATTCTCCAAATAGAAATAATTATAAAATTACTCATAATCTTAAGGGTTCTTCCTCTACCCAATTCCCTCATGCAACTCTACCTATAAATAATTCTCTTTTCCCCCGTACCTGGAAAAACAGCAGTTGAAACTACAACAGAGATCTCTTGGTCTCCTCCTCTAAGTGCCCCTTGGTCTTCAGAGAGAAGAAGAGGGAAAGAAGAGAGAACATAAGATAATAGGAAGAGAGAATGAGAGATGTCTCAAAATGACAGGTGAGGGGTGCTATTTATAGGATTACAGGCAAACCTACTGGAACGGCCCGTTCCAAAAGTGGAACGGCCGTTCTGGACGCTTCGAAATTACGCAAAATTCTCAACTGGAATGGCCTGTTCCAAAACCAGAACAGCCCGATCTCAAAACCAGCAGAACGGCCCGTTCTCCAAACTAGAACGACCCGTTCTCCAAACTAGAACGGCCTGTTCTGCTTCTCCAATTTTAGGCATTTTTTTTATTCAATTGAGCCTCTGGCCCAGCGATTTTGGGCTGTTACAATAAAAGGTTTCTAGCAATACTTTTGAGTGACAAAATGCTTATTAATAGTTCAGGAAATTTAGTGCACTCACTCTAACACTTTACGTTCAATACTATCTATATGATTGACTAAAATTAATTTAAAATTACAAATTTTGTGAGTTTAACATCTCATTTAATAAATCACTTGCTTGATTTAAGGGTATCATCCACTAAAATTTTGAGGCCTACATATTGGCGGTTGTATATAGTACGAATACCTTCATCTAGAAAGCAACCATTCAAGACTAGTTAATTATTTTTGAGATCGTGGGAATGTTAAAAATAATATACTCTTTAGTGATATAAAACACTGTAATTATTTTAATTAATTTTATAAAATAAAATAAAAAATACGACATATAAATTTGGTTTTTCTAACTTATCATTAAATTATCATGGTAGAGATGAACATATTATTATCCTATAATGTATATCAAAATTTACGAATCATTGTCAATAAAATTCATAACCAATAATTTATACAGGTGATCATCAGCGTGAGGCTGAGGATGTTGGTGATGAAGCTTAGGCTTCTATGTTGGGTTTTGCTCTGATAGGACATGTGACATCGGGACATAGATAGGATTAGTTTAAGATGTTCTTATTAAATTATTTTGGAAAATTCAGTTTTATCTCTTTGTAATTTTACTAGCATGTTTTTTGGATTAAGTTTATGAATGTGAACTCTTTACCTTTACGTGGTTGGAAATTTTATTTTTATTGATTTTTTTTATAACTACTGTATATGTATGTTGGGGTAGAGGGTGTCACAAAAAGAAAGCAAAAGCGATTCCTGTAGTAGAGGCGAGTGAAATGAGAGCAGCCTAAACCTCGAACTGCTATCTTAGAAATTTACTCAGTAAATCTCCTATAAATTATTCTAAGAAAACTCTTAACCTCACTAATCAACTTTTAGTGTCTCCCACTTAAGCACAACTTCTACCTTAGGTAGATCTACGTTATACCTCCGCTAGAAATTACAAGGCCAAGAACACTCATCTCATACAATCAAAAATCACACTTTGATAACTAACATAAAACTGTCTAGCATCCTCAACTCTAATTTGATGATATCACATCCTAAGGTCAATCTTACTAAACACACAAACACCCACTAATTGATATATAAGATCATCTATCATCATATCAATATACATGCATATCAAATCATATTAAAACACCTAATTCAAACATTCATGTATATACTATACCTAATCATGTACAAATCCATCATTGTTTACTCCATACAGCATGTACATGAACCAACTTTACCACATAGCATTATACAATCTTAAACTACCTCTCAATCTACATGAAAACACCTCAAAACATCATAACCAAAAAAATCAGTTTTTTTTTTAATCCTTGCATTGCCTAACAACTCAAAACATCATGATACCGTACATATCCCTTCAACAACTGGCAAGAAACGATACCTAGAGAGTTGCACTCGTCCAATGATAGCAATCCTATCTCAAAAGAAAGATAAAAGAATAAGTTATAACTCTTATGAAGACATGAGATTCTGAATAGAGATCCTCTTCTTAGCTAA